GTGGATACATGGCTCTCTTTGCCACCCCATATGTCGGACTGTGTGTAACACGGTGTGTGTGCACATTCGCTCAATGTACGTGATGTGTATCGTCTTGTGCATGCGGCAAACGTCAACGTTTCTCGCATAAACATCGCGATATCTTACATGCTTCGCGGCTTCGGTTGCATTGCAGCGGAGAGAGATCCAGTTTAATCCCGGTGTCAGTACTGGTGTTGTGTCATAAGTAGTGAGGATTACCAGTGGTGTGATACTTGAGTTTCTTGTCCTCCATCCTTGTAAGGAAGATGGCATGTGTCGTACCAGAGATTGTTGCACACCTGTGCAACAAGGATTAACCTAACCTTACGTCTTCTATAGGAAAAACAGACGAGAGAAATAACCTTTTAAGGTCTAGTGGAATAGTTTCTTAAAGTCGAGTGAAGAATTCAATAATAAATATTATAATCAGAATTCATGTGTTTGTGTGTTCTTGTGTTTTTTTAATGTGTAATGTAATTTCCCGTACGTGCAGTTAGCACATTCACGTTTTAAAATAGACAATATATGTATTTGATTTAAATGACATCTATTCATTCCATGTTTTAATTATATATATAAATTCTTGAAGTGCTGAATAGGAAATAATATACGGGAATTATATGAAGGGTATTTAGAATTCTTGAAATTATTTAGTGAAGAGTATTCAGTGTCTTGAAGAATGTTTGGTGGCACCTATCACACGAGACGAGAGGTGTCAAGTCGAGCATACAGAGCCATCGACAGGGTGCCATCTGCTTGTCCCCGAAGTGCCTGAGTGTTGGGGGAGGGGAGAACAGAAGGTGCCACTCCCACTCTTACACCTGCTGACCCTCTTCACCTAACAGTACGCACTTGTATATCAGTCGACTGCTGGGGTTCACATCATAGTGAAGGACGATTCGTATCTTGAAAGTAATAACCAATACAGCTTATATTTCTGGGGTGATCCTTGGGGTTAATGACCCTTCGGGGTTAATAACCTTTCCGGGTTACCTTCCAGGATTAATAACGATTCGTAGTTAGTAATAATGTCAGAGCTTAATAGGCTCGGAGAATGTTTCCTTATTCTCGTCCAACTTTTTCATAGTGGCGACGGCAGAGGGAGGGACCTCTAGTGTGGTTGACCTCAACCTTACAGACACCCAGCAGCACTGGTTGAACTGATGGCACTATTGGGTCGTCTACTACCTTAGGCACCCAGCAACACTGGTTGAACTGATGGCACTGTTGGGTCGTCTACAACCTTACAGACACCCAGCAGCACTGGCTGAACTGATGGCACTGTTGGGTCGTCTACAACCTTCGACACCCAGCAGCACTGGCTGAACTGATGGCACTGTTGGGTCGTCTACAACCTTAGACACCCAGCAGCACTGGCTGAACTGATAGCACTGTTGGGTCGTCTACAACCTTACAGACACCCAGCAGTAGCACTGGCCGAACTGATGGCACTGTTGGGTCGTCTACAACGACGGTCGTGCTTACAGTTTTGTGTTCGACAGTTGTTACTCCTTACATGACCATAGTCAGCTTGTTTGTTTTTCACAGGCCGAGCTCAAGATTCAACAACGCTAGCTGTGCACAGTTCCAGCAATCTTAGTTGGGGACAGTGCCGGCACCCTTAGCTGGGCGCAGTGCCGACACCCTTAGCTGGACACAGTGCCAGCACCCTTAGCTGGACACAATGCCGCATCCTTAGCTGGACAGTGTCAGCATCCTTAGCTGGTCACACTGCCAGCATCCTTAGCTGGACACAGTACCAGCATCCTTAGCTGGGCACAGTGCCGGCATCACTAGCTGGGCACAGTGCCAACATATTTAGTTTGACCCTACGCCTAGCATTCTTAACTTAGCACCCAGCAAGTGCGGAGCTAGGCACGTCATCTAACGTGTTTTTATCTTATAATCCTCAGCATATTGTCTTGATGCCATTACAAGCCAAGAATTTTTGACAACCTAGGAAGTCCTAGAGTCCCAGCAGGTAGTGTAAGCGCCTTCCAAGTCCTTCCTTGAATTACAAGTCTTGGAAGATTGTCTTGACCTCCTTACAACTCACTGAAGATTGTCTTGACCTCCATACAACTCATTGAATATTGTCTTGACCTCCTTACAAGTCTGAAGATTGTCTTGACCTCCTTACAAGTCTCTGAAGATTGTCTTGACCTCCTTACAAGTCTCTGAAGATTGTCTTGACCTCCTTACAACTCACTGAAGATTGTCTTGACCTCCTTACAACTCACTGAAGATTGTCTTGACCTCCTTACAAGTCTGAAGATTGTCTTGACCTCCTTACAAGTCTCTGAAGATTGTCTTGACCTTCTTACAAGTCTCTGAAGATTGTCTTGACCTTCTTACAAGTCTCTGAAGATTGTCTTGACATTCTTACAAGTCTGAAGATTGTCTTGACTTCCTTACAAGTCTCTGAAGATTGTCTTGACTTCCTTACAAGTCTCTGAAGATTGTCTTGACTTCCTTACAAGTCTCTGAAGATTGTCTTGACTTCCTTACAAGTCTCTGAAGATTGTCTTGACTTCCTTACAAGTCTCTGAAGATTGTCTTGACTTCCTTACAAGTCTCTGAAGATTGTCTTCAGACAAAGCTAGGTGTCTGAAAACATTTTCTTCACACTCTACAAACGCAAGTGTTGATTTCCTTTGTTTTGAGCCTCGCGGCGCTCATGGAGGAAGTACTGTGTGTGTGTGTGTGTGTGTACTCACCTGTGTGTGTGTGTGTGTGTGTGTGTGTGTGAAAGACCGAGAATGCAACAGGCGTTCCCTCTCTGGATAGTCACTGTATGTGTGTGTGTGTGTGTGTGTGTGTGTGTGTGTGTGTGTTTAATATTAAAAATTCCCAACCTCATAACAGTTTTGTATACAACTGGTAAATGACAGGTAGATTTGCAACAGGTGTATTGACAACAGGTAGACTGATAATGGGTAGAATCACAAAAGTAACAAGGGGAAGACGGATAACAGAAAGAGGAATAACGAAGATGAATAACTGGAAGAGAACTAACCGGAAGATGAATAAACAGAGGAATGATAGGTGGAGTACATGGGGGTGTAACACCAGGAGGGAGGGGAGTAACAGAAGGATGAGGGAACAACCGAAGGGAGGGGAACGACATGAGGGAGAGGATCGACAGGAGGGAGAATAGCAGGAGAGAGAGAAGGAGAATAACAATAAGAGGGAATAACAACAGAAGAGAAAAGCAACAGGAGGGAGAGTAAAAGGAGAGAGAGAAAAAAATAAGAGTGACAACAGGAGAGAGAGTAACCGGAGGCAACACAACAAGAGTACAGTACAGAGTACATGTGTGTGGTGGACTTCCAGTATCGATGTTTTGCCCCTTCCCTCTCCCCTCCCTCCTCACCCTTCCCCTCCCCCCACCTGTAATTTACTGCCTCTGAACTTGTCTTTATTTCTGCCACCTGGAAGGTGTTGCAAAATGTCTCTGCATTTTATAGGTTAGTGTACTCGCTGATTTGTGTTTGTTGGGGTCGAGACACGGCTCCTGGCCCCGCCTCCAGGGCCACCTTGATGGATATCACTGACTTCTGGTCTCTTGGGCCTTATCATATCTAGTGTTGAATGAGACACATGTGCAACACTTGTGTGTCTTTATTGTGGAAAAGTTTCGCCAGCCAGTGGCTTCCTCAGTCAGATGCAGAAAAGAATGGTCGAAGGTGAGAAGGAGTTTGAGGTAATCAGTCCCTCAGCCTGGAGTCGATGTGTTCAGTCCATCAGTCTTGATAAAAGTTCGCGCATATGCTGCACTTCTGTCAAGATTAATGGAGTGAATACATCGACCCAAGACTGAGGGACTGATTGCCTTGAACTCCATTTCCTCCACCATTCTTCTCTGTACTGGACAGAGGAAGCCACTGTGTGGCGAAATGTTTCCACAACAAAGATACTCAATTGTTGCACATGTCTCATTCATGAACTTATCGAGCTTTTAAATCCTTTATGAATCATACCTATTCGTGAAGCTATGTATTGAGCTTGCCTCCACCACTGCCTCATACAAGTCATTTCACTTTTCGACCATACCCTGTGTGTGTGTGTGTGTGTGGGTGTGTGCGTGCGTGCGTGTGTGTGTATGTACTCACCTAGTTGTACTTCCCTAGTCGAGGTTGCAGGGGTCGAGTCCAAGCTCCTGGCCCCGCCTCTTCACTGGTCGCTACTAGGTCACTCTCCCTGAACCGTGAACTTTATCATACTTCTTCTTAAAGCTATGTATGGATCCTGCCTCCACTACATCGCTTCGCAAACTATTCCATTTCCTGACTACTCTGTGGCTGAAGAAGTACTTCCTAACATCCCTGTGATTCATCTGTGTCTTCAACTTCCAACTGTGTCCCCTTGTTGTTGTGTCCCATCTCTGGAACATCCTGTCTTTGTCCACCTTGTCAATTACTCTCAGTATTTTGTATATCGTTATCATGTCCCCTCTATCTCCTGTCCTCCAGTGTCGTCAGGTTGATTTCCCTTAACCTCTCCTCGTACAACATACCTCTTAGCTCTGGGACTAGTCGTGTGTGTGTGTGTGTGTGTGTTGTGTGTGTGTGTGTGTGTGTGTGTATGTGTATGTGTGTGTTCACCTATTTGTGGTTGCAGGGGTCGATTCACAGTTCCTGGATAGGCCTCTTCGCTGGTGTGTGTGTGTGTATATGTAGAATAAATCTCACTCGGGTTTATACTAGAGTGGGCGTGATGGGACAGGACGTGGGCGTATGTAATAGGCGTGGGTGTGTCCAATCAGAATCTGATAGACACGAGACCCCCCGTCTCTCTCTCTCTTTCTCTCTCTCCCTCTCTCTTTCTCTGGGGTTCTATAAGTATTTCACAACTGGTTCCTCTACTCTTTATCTAAAGTTTTATGATAGAACTTTATATGTATACATGGGACACAAGAACGATTAATACCCATGACACCTGTCGCCAGTTGGGAAGTTTCTGTCCTGGTAACCCAGGCT